CTGTCAGAGAAATTACTGTAGACAAAAGACAGGAACACCAAATACTATCTTTTAAAATGAAAGTAAGATATTTACTTATCCATATACAACAGATCAGTTTCATATATTATTCTGACTGTTCTATAGGCTTGTCAAAAAAGATTCTGTTTTTTTTTTAATTTAAAAAACACCTTTATTGCACAGTGCATCACTAATTTCCATCAGGAAAGCATCCAGAAAAAAATTGGAATGTTTGGGCATGCTTTTAGATACCATCAGTCCTTCTCTGATAATCTTAAAACAACAGAGAAAAAGACAGCACTGAGCATTTTCATGTAAATTGTAGTAAATAAATATGCTGGAGATTTATTGCTTGCATAGAAAGCCACCTTTCATCAAGATACAGTTAATGCAAATAACTTAATATCCCTTTATAGTCAGTTAACATGGATACATTTTACTCAATAGAAATCTTGAACTGTAAACTTGTGTGATATATTGCAATTGTTAAACTACGATAAACAAAAAGTACTTAATACTTATCTATGCCAAGAATCCAAATATTTGCTTCAAAATATCAAAGATAGCTGTAAGGACATGCAGAATTTCAAATATCTTCCTCTACTCTCCCATATCTATACCTCAAATCGTTTTTCTAAATTATATTTAATATGAAAATAGGAGGGAAAAAGGCAATCCAGTTCCTATTATTAGGAAATCAATAGAAGCTGATTTAAATGGAAGCATGGTAAGACAGCATGTTTGAAAAAGATATACTCAAAAGTACATTTCTCAAAATGAAATTCTCTTTTCTCTCCTTTTCATGCCTTGCTTTCCATTAGAATCATTCAAATAATTTCCATCTACAACAAGATTCTCTTACTCAATAGTGTACTCAATCTTGACCACCAAATTCTCTCATCAAATCACTGCACGAAAATGTAAGCCTCTCAAGCCCGTAGATGAAAGATCCAGATGACTTTTTGTACAACTATGTTAAGGAATATTTTGATTTATAATACTACTTCTTTTAACGGACAGACACGCCTTTCAGTTAGACACTGTATACTTGTCATAATAACGCTATTTTTATTTCCCGAGCAAAGCATTCAACTCAAGGCGTTTCTCTCTTTGTCTGTAACATTAACAACTTTGAAACACCATTGATTTTGGTGCAAATCAGAACACCAGAAAAGCCTGCATTCCCATAATCCACCCTCCCCCCGGCTGCCACAATCTCCATGTGTGCCACATTCCCAGGCCCCTCTGTTTCACAGACTCCAGCAATAGTACTCACCCATTCCCTCATGACAGGGCTTGTCCTATGGTCTTCAGCTACCTGTTATTTTCTATACATACCCCAATTAACTGTGCTGAATTTGAGCAAAGCATAAGATGGAATTCACCTACTAACCTGGAAACAGGACAAGAGGTTGCAGTGTATCCCTCTGGCTGCTACCTGCAGCCTATGTTTTAATGGGAGCCAATCCACTACACTGGGACATCTCATTTGTTCCCGTACACAGAAAACTCTTCTATGGCATAAAGATGGTGCAAAGGTAACCTTACATGGCCACTCTACAGTCCCAACGTGAAGCAGAAATGGCCTTTTGACAATGTCCTCTACCTCAGGTGAACTTCACCTTATAACATTTCATAACGTAGATTTCCCACTTCTCTCATAATTTTAGCTACAACCTTCAAGTAAGTCATTTACATAGGGAAATAGTATTTATTTCCAGGTCTTCTCAGCAGGGTATATAAATACTTTCTGCCATAGCAAAGAGCAGAGGACATATATGGACAACTAGAATTTCCTCACTGTTTTACAAGAGTCAGTGCAGCATTCACAAAACCAGAAATATCTTATCCACATAATTATGTTTATAAAGCAATTAATTAATGGCAAAAACACAGTGTGGGAATAAAATTATACCTATCATCCTCAAAAAAGGTATTGTTTCATTGTTTTGAAGTATTGAAGTTAATGAGAACACAAGCTACACTGTGAGTCTTCTAAATAGAATCACCATCCTAGAAACTAGAAATCTGCCTGTAAAGCATAATTCATTATAGAAATAAACAAACGCATACATAAATAAATAGTGATAACTGGCCAAGTTTATGAAGGCCTTACACTCAACTTAGTGGTATTTCTCTGTCTGTCGGTAATGCAATAACTTTTGAATGCTGCATCCAATCAATTCCAGGGGAATGTTCTAAGCGTCAATAGCCAGAACTCTATTGATTGTGATGAAAATCAGAAAGCCAAAAAGGCAAAAATGGGAGACACACAAAGCCCCTGCCAGCTTTTTAGCATAGCCGCACCCTCAAGCATCTCTGTAATGTAATAAGACTGCAAATAAGGTGTTCAGACTGGAAATGAAGAATAAAAGCTTATGCTCAAATAAATTGGTTAGTCTCTAAGGTGCCACAAGTACTCCTTTTCTTTTTGCAAATTTTTAACAGTGCGAGCAATCAATCGTTGAAACAATTTGCCAGGGCTCACGGTGGATTCTCCATCACTGACAATTTTTAAATCAATATTAGATGTTTTTCTAAAAGACATGCTTTAGGAATTATTTTGGGGGACTTCTATGGCCTGTGTTATACAGGAGGTCAGACTAGACGATCATAAGGGTCCCTTCTAGCCTTGGAATCTATGAATTATCTATAGCTCAAAGAACTTCCTGATCGTACTCATTGCCTTCCAGCATAACAATGCTCCTAACTCATTTCTCCTCATCTTCCCAATACAGTTTAACATGTTGATACCCCAAATTACTTATTTCCTGGGCAGAAAGAAGAATAATGGTGGGGAAGGAGGAGGAGGAAGGGAGAATTGGGGTTTGCACACAGCCATTGGCATGGGGGTAGAATGGAGGACACTACTGTGTCCAGAACCCCTGATGGGGGGACATGGGGAAGGGGTAGACAGAGACACTAGCACAAGGGTGAAGTGGAAACAGGAGTGAAACAAAAAATGGGAGGAAGACAGAGCTCTTGCCATCGGGGTGGGGAGGAATGGGAAAAATGAGGGTTCACACTGAACCCTTGCCATGGAAGGAATGAGTGACACTGGCATGGGGGCACACAGAATCCCAGGTGGGGGAAGATTGGAAGACCCTGGTATAGGGGTAGGGAAAATGGGAGGCATGGGGTAAAAAGGGGAGAATAAGATTGCACACAGCACTGCTATAAAGGGGGGAATGGGGACCTTCAAATGGAGAAAGGGAAGCCACAGAGCCCCATAGAGTAGGGGGGAATCGGGCACACAGAATCCCTGCTGAAGAGGAGGTTGGAGGACTCTGGTATGGGAGGATGGGGGAAATAGGGAATATAGGGGAAAAGAGGGGAAGATTGAGGGAACCTGGTATGGGAGAAGGGGGGCATACAGAGCCCCCGGCATGGGACAAAAGTGGAAATAGGGGTGCACACAATATACTGGTATGTCAGGAAGAATGGGGAGACACAAGCGACTGTCATGAGCGGATATTGTGGGGTTGCAGGGAATCCCTGAGAAAGAGATGGATGGCAGGGCAGTACATAGGGAGTTGGGGGGTGGGTGAGGAGAATGTGTGTGTACTCCTTACATCCCTCCATTCCCCTCCAGAAGCCCTGGTGTGTGTGATAAGATCAGCCTATACAAGCTATGAAATATGCGAGTCCCTAGCATTAATTGTGACAGTACACAATCTGCACCCAATCCTGCTGCAACTGAAATCAATGGCAAAACTCTCATTGACTTCAAGGGTAGTAGGACTGGGTCAGAGATATAGACTACCATTAATAGTGTAAGTTCTATTGGAGGGAGCTGATCCTGAATTCTTGAACACTCAAAACAACCACTGACCTCAATAGACATTTTGGGTATGAAAATACTGCATGATCAGACCTATGATTTGTAACTGATTCAATTAATTAAGGCATACAAGAGCTGTGTGATGCGTGTCAAATATAAATAGACATAGTATAGTATAAATTAGTTGGATAATAAATGAATTTACCATCAGTAGCTGAAAGGATAAAAATGATAAATGATTGTGTAGCATATTTACAAGGAGTTGTTGATTGTTGCAGGAGTTTCCTGCCTGTTAAAAATTTGGGTTTTGTATTAGTCCTTTGTACAAGAGGTTGACTTTTGCAAAATTGCTCTAGTGTACAGGAATAAATGTTGCCTTCCTGGTCACACACATCCTCAATGGCTGCATATGTACTTTGCTGGACAGGGCCCATATTTTAATGCCTTCTCAGTAACAGCATAACATCTTGTTTCTTTTACCAAAGTTATATGATTTCTAGAAGAGCGGAAATAGTTTTATACAGAAATATGACTCCTATCGTTAAAAATCTGCTTTCAACCTCAGAAAAATGTTACCTTCCTTTAGAAAACATCAGGGACAAACTCTGCCCTCAGATACCTACCCACTGAAAGCAATGAGAGAGTAGAGAGGTAATCAGACAAACGAAGGCAAATGTTCCCCTTAAAATCTCTAATGTTCAAAAGATATTTTGATATGTGCATTTCTTTTTAAAAGTGCTGCCTATAGGGTAAATTAAGTAACATATAATGGGACACTAGCAAGGTTTGATAAATACTGATTTTCAACAAATTACTGAACAGTTAGCTATCTTATGAATAAAGTATTGTTGCCTACTCTAAGATCATGAGTGTTTTGCCCTAACTTCTGCATCCTTCATTTGCCAATTTTGTTTAGGTTTTAGATTTTAAAATGATGCACATTGGACTATACACATTAATTTGTGGAGTAATGTTTTACCTGTCTCCATCCCCCTCCTTGTGAGATTTGCTCACCACTTGCAGGCACAACAACTTGCATGCACAGCAACTTCTTGCCTAACATATTCCATAAATATATAGTTTCTTTAGACAACAGAAAATAAATAACTTACATAAAAATAACTCAAACAGATTGCACAATTATCAGTGGAAATATTTTACACTGTTTGTGAACTTCAGGACAGAACTCAGTTAAAAAAAAATGTTAAGTCTCACTTACTTTGGTAGAGTTTTCAAATGATTTTCTCTTAACTCCAAGATACGCAATTTGACGAGTCTAGAAATACCGATATAAAACAATATGAGTAATACATTCAAGTGAGAAAATACTTCTGACACCAATAAGAATTACTGGAGAACTGTTTATTCCAGTACAAAAAGATTTAGCCGTGTATTTGCATTACATTATTTTTATATTCCTGACCAGTCTCTGCTGGAAAGTACTATGATGTGTCAGTTGCTAGAAATAATTCTGAATCAATTTTTGCTGATTATTTATACTGGAGAAATATGGCAAAACTTAATTTACCACAAATATTTCCAGTTCTGTAATACTAACCAACTTCAGCTTAAGTTGCATCAAGCTTTGATTACTGGCAATAGGTTTTGTTCTGGAAAATCATGAATACCCATGAAAAAGGGTTAAAATTGTTTAAAATATTTAGAGCACTTACACAGATGCATGGCATTTTGAATGACTGTTCACAAGTTTACACACATTTTTGTAGAGATCACAATTTCTTTTTGCATTTTTGGGCCTTGATCCTACAACTGACTGCACACAGGCAAACTGCTTCCCCGACACAGATCCCCATTGACTTCCATGGGATTGAAGCACAAGCTTACAGTTCGCCATGAGCATAAGTGCTCTATTGAATTAAGGTCTCTATACTGCATTGTACAAACATTAAATAATGAATACTCACAACAAACTTTGAGGTAGAACAATCAGCTCACAAATGGGAAAACTGACACAAAACAAGGACACACAAAATGGGGGTTGAGGAACCAGGATTAGAACTCCAGAGTTTTTGGCTTTAAGGGCTTGTTCCAGAGCTCAGCCATGGTGACATCAAATGCCACCCACTGACTTCAATGGACTTCAAATCATGCCACTATTCCTGGGTTCTTTTATCTTAGATCATTATTAACCCCAGTGATGAAGGGTATAGGAGCCAAAGGATCTCTATTCCTGACCCAAAGTCCTACAATTTCAGCTGTAGAAAATCTGTAGAGAGTTAACTGTTGCGATAATTAGGCCTACAAATAAAGCCTAATTATAAGCTCAACTGTAAAAATAACAGACTTTGAAGTCATAACTTTTTTATGTATAGAAAAACTATTTTAAGTTATTATCAGAGCTTTTGTGGCTCCCTCTGAGTCCTTTACAATCAGACTCATGGTAACTAAGGCAACCAGCTTTATACGCAGAAGGTTACAAGAAATACTCCCAATACATTATTTTTAAAAAATAACAATCGAAAAATTTTCCTAAAATAGTTTTTTCTGAAATGTGTTTTGCAGCTTACAAAAAACATGAAAGATTTTGTAAAAATTCATTTGAGATGATCTGCGTAAGTAACTTGTGGCTTCACCACTCATGAATAGTATGATCATCCCAAACTGATAAAACCTTTATACCATACCACCATGTATCATATTTTCTATATCCTCAACACATAAGCTAAGTGCAGGGCCAGCTCTAGGTTTTTTGCCACCACAAGCAAAAAACAATTTTGGCCACCCCGACCCCCTTTTTTTTTTCTTTTTTGGCTTTTACAAGTTTGCACTTTGCAATTGTTTTTGTTTCTTTTGACTGTTTAAAATAAAAAAAAATGAAAACAGAGAATTTGTAGTTAGTGAAATAAAACAATTTCCTACTAGTGTACTCATTTAATTTTAATTAAATCACAATTATAAACAAATTTGGGTTCAACTATACACTGTAATGAAAAACGTTAGTGTCTTCCGGTGCACCCAGTTTCACATAAATTAAAAGAATTTACAGGAACTGAATTTTTTTGGTTTTTATACTTGCGTAGTCCTTTAATAATTCAGTGAAATCTAAATTTTTTGCAATGGTACTTTCAATTGAAATTAATGCGAGTCCTGACAAATGATTCTGAGACATGGTGGACCTCAAATAATTTTTTAGTAATTTCAATTTTGAGAAACTGCGCTCACCAGAAATCACTGATACTGGTAATATTAAAAGAATGTGTAATGCTATGGCAGTGTTTGGAGTGAGGTGCTTGGGGCTGTACATCCTGCTGGTGGGCCCCCAGCCCAATCTCAGACCTAGCCCCACCCCCGCAGAGGGGACAGTAACTGACAGAGTGGCCGGAGGGTGGGTCAGCCACGGGGATGGGGGTGGACCAGGGGCGCCCACCCAGCGCCTAGCCGCCCAGGGCAGTGGGTCCCTTACCGGCTGCAGGTCCTGCCCCGATCCCGGGCTCCACTCCACTCGGCTCCGGCTCCTCCGCCGCTTGTGACACATGTGGCAGGGCGGGCAGGGAGGGAGAAGCCACATCGCCCCGCTCCCCCAGTGATGGGGGGCCAGGGCAGGGACTGCCCCGGGCCGGGACTACCATGCTGAGCCTCCCGCCCCGCCCCACGCAGGGGCTTATTGGTTGACTGAGCGGGGCCGGGGGAAAAAAAGGGTGGCCGGAATGCCGCCCCTAGAAATGTGCCACCCCAAGCACGTGCTTGCTTTGCTGGTGCCTAGAGCCAGTCCTGGGTAAGTGTACTTTACATATTTACTGTATGTACACAATGTATGGTATGGGTCAATGAGCTAGCCAACTTCAAGGCAGTTTCCAAGGGCAAAGTGAGCAATAGTGCATTTCCAACATCCTTATTGCCAACACTCAAACTGTACTTGCTACCCTGTTTCTGCAGACTCAGCTTTTTTTTAAGTATTTCCTGCTCCAACTTCTCTTATTTCTTGTTTTTTTTCCCTCCTCCTGGGTTTTCTGTTTTTCTATTTTCTCAGCTTTGTCTTCCTACTACTCTGATCATTTCTTCTCTATATCTATCTGAATCAGCCTACATTCCCTTTTTCCTTTCTTCTCTGGATCTCACTTTCACATCTCTACTTTGCTCACTCTGCCATACTCATTTAATTTTTCTCTTTCTTCCTGACAGGCAGCCCTTGGATTCCTCACCAGAGGAAGCAACCAGAAACAGAGACTACAAGAACAGACCCTACTTTGTTCTTTCTGCCCCTTTGGCCAAAAAGCAGCAGTCACTTTTGGTCAAGAACAAGTAAAGAGAAGCACAAACACTGGCCACTGAGAAGCTGGATCAAAGTATTGCAGTAAACCAATTTGCTTACACAGTGCTGGCACACACTAGCTAGTTCTGGAGGTCATCAATCTAACTGCTGTTATTCTACTGTCCTGTAGCTTAACTATTACTCTTCCCACATCCATATCTTCCTAACTCACTTAACAGCTCCCCACTACTCAGGATGTCTTCCCCAACCACCCAGCTGAAACCAGTTACACTCCTGCCTCCTATCATTCATCAAAACTGGATTGCAGGGACTAACAATCATATATTTTCTGTTTTACATGCACACCGCTTCTAAATGATCTTTTAAAACTAAATCAATTGCTTGTGAAGTGGTAATGTGGTTTAACAATTAACTTACCTTCCGAAGTTAGCTGGAAGAAACTCCAGAAAGGCATCGTTTAGGTAGAGCTGGGTCAAGTTTAGAAGCTGCGTGAAACCATCTGGCAGCCTAAAGAGAAGTTAAAGATTTAGTCTTTGAATCTGGGTTGCTATAGAAACAATGCAAATGTAAATCTCTATGGAGAAGCATAAGTTCTCCACCCTCACATCCCTTAGCTACACAGCTTATGAAAAAGAAGAATTTATAGAGAAAATTGTTACAGGTGGCATTTTTGCTTGTTATTAAAACAAATAGCACTCAACTTTTCCCTGTTACTGTCACAGGATGAAATTTATGTACCTGACACATTAAAGTGGCTTCATCCTTCTCTCTTATCCTACTTTAAGCTTTTTATCAGAGGATTTTTTTTTTTACTGAAATGGCAAGCATATGCTGAGTACTTCACTTTTCATAACTTCTTGAGTGGGGCTCTATTTCTCTAAGATATAGCATGTCTTTTGATTATAAAGGTAGTAACGTAACTGTATATACATTAGGGCTGTCAAGCCATTAAAAAATTAATCGTGATTAATCGTGCTGTTAAACAACAATAGAATACCATTTATTTTAAATATTTTTGGATGTTTACTACATTTTCAAATATATTAATTTCAATTACAACACAGAATAAAAAGTGTACAGTGCTCACTTTATATTTATTTTTATTACAAATATTTGCACTGTAAAAAACAAAAAAAATATTTTTCAATGTATCTCATACAAGTTCTGCAGTGAAATCTCTTTATAATGAAAGTTGAATTTACAAATGTAGAATTATGCATAAAAAACCTGCCTTGAAAAATAAAACAATGTAAAACTTTAGAGCCTACAAGTCCACTCAGTCCTACTTCTTGGTCAGCCAATCACTCAGACAAACAAGGTTGGTTACAATTTGCAGGAGATAATGCTGCCTACTTCTTGTTTACAATGTCACCTGAAAGTGAGAACAGGTGTTTGCATGGCACTGTTGTAGCTGGCATTGCAAGATATTTTAGCCAGATGTGCTAAAGATTCATATGTCCCTTCATGCTTCAACCACCATTCCAGAGGACATGCTTACATGCTGATGATGGGTTCTGCTTGATAACGATCCAAAGCAGTGCAGACTGATGCATGTTCATTTTCATCATTGGAGTCAGATGCCACCAGTAGAAGGTTCATTTTCCTTTTTGGTGGTTTGGGTTCTGTAGTTTTCGCATCAGGGTGTTGCTCTTTTAAGACTTCTAAAAGCATTCTCCACACCTCATCCCTCTCAGATTTTGGAAGGCACTTCAGATTCTTAAGATTCTCACTTCTTGGGTGAGTGCTGTAGTTATTTTTAGAAATCTCACATTGGTACCTTCTTTGCATTTTGCCAAATCTGCTGTGAAAATGTTCTTTAAAATGATCGTGTGCTGGGTCATCGTCCGAGAGTGCTATAACATGAAATATATGCAGAATGCGGGTAAAACAGAGCAGGAGACATACAATTCTCCCCCCAAGGAGTACAGTCACAAATTTAATTGACGCATTTTATTTTTAACACACATCATTAGCATGGAAGCATGTCCTCTGGAATGGTGGCCAAAGCATGAAGGGGCATAAGAATTTTAGAATCTCTGGCATATAAATACATTGCAACGCCGGCCACAAAAGTGCCATGTGAACACCTGTTCTTACTTTTGAGAAGTGGTGTGATCCTGTTGCTGCTGAGAACTTTGGGCTCATTACTGAGCTGAGTCGTGCTGTGAGGAGGGAGACAAAGGTGAGTCAGAGCCAAATATCCCAACCCTGGGCCAGCCAAGGTGAGCTAAACTGACCCTCTGCACAACTTAGAGCAGCCATTGGGCTGCTGGGTAGAACAGTCTCCTAGGGTAAGTCTACACCGCAATAAAATTCCTGGAGCAGCAAGTCTCAGAGCCCAGGTCAATTGACATGGGTTTACATTCACAGGGCTCAGGCTGCGGGGCTAAAAACTGCAGTGTAGACATATCCCTAGAGATTTTTCCATTGGCTCTCCACCCAAAAGCATCCTCCTGGCATCAGATGTAGGCAAGAGAGACTGGCACAAAATAAACTGCTTGCCCAGGACTACCACTGTTTGGGGAATAGGCAGCCACACATGTTCGGGGAATATGGCAGTTTTAAAGCAACAACAGGTTGCAGAATGCACAACATTTTCAATCTGGTGGCATGCAAATCCTGTCACTGTTTGAGCAGAATGGAGTTATCTAGGTAAATTGGTTAGGCAACCCAAGGAAATTCCATACAACAGTACATTATTTAGAAAATATTGAGGTGGGACAATTAAGCATTTAGCCACTGACTTTAACAGGATTACAACGGTTCTGTTAGATTGAGCCATTGTACTCAACACCATGTAGAACCAAGCCCATTAAATAGAAGGTCTTATACCTCAGAATAATGAAAAAGATGCTACAGATGCCAAGCCAAACAATGTCACATCAAAGAGCTCAAATATTACATTATCTCTTACAATTTTTTATTATGACACTATAATCTGGCAATTATAAATGAACACTAGCATACATTTTAAAACAATCTACCACACCATATATTCTGTATGAACTAGGGGCCTGATTGGAGAAACCTTTATTCATGTGACAGTCCTTACATAAGTCAGGGTTTACAAGATTAGGCATGTATTTTTCAAAATGTGATCATTTAATTTATAACCAGTTTTAGGTGTCAGATTAATACAGGAATGAATTTTGAGTCCTTGGTCAAATAACTCAATTAATACAAGATTTCATCTTTTCTTTACATCAGTGTTTCATTTTGAGTGTCTTCGTAATACGCTATAGGGCAAATCATAATATATAGATCAATAACTCAATAAGCTCCATTGCATTTTTTGTCAAAGGTTAATAATCTGAAAGCTACATTTACAGACTTTAAAATCCACAATCTTTAAAAGAACATACATGTACATTTAAAATGTCAATGTAATTTTAGAACAAATATTTGGACAATAAAATCTACTGCAGGAAACCACACAAATATACCACAAAACAAGAAATTACATTTAATGAGCACCTGAAACATGCTATTACCAACATTTCAGCGATCTCTTTTTTTCTAGCTTGCACGGGTCCTATACAATAGTCTTAGACCCTGATTCTGCAGTTGTGCTTGTGCATAAAACCCATTAATTTGAATGTCACATGTTATTAAAGAGCTCTCTGCCTATCTGTTGCATCTATTGCATACTAACTAGTAACGCATTCCCAGAGTTGAAGTTTTAAAACATTTAAATGTCCATTTTGAATTACCTTATAATATGTTCGAAAATTACTTTCCCCTTTACTCATGCTTCCAGGCTTGCAGCAGTTGATGACATCAAGTGTCAAAAATAGTACGATACTGCATTCTGTGTTGTTTGGTATGTTTGTTTATGTTATCAATTTTTTCAGGGGAAAAGTAGAAAATCTTAAACTCAAAACTTGGGTCTTGACCCTCCCAAAGACCTATGAACATACTTACTTGCAAATCTTTGCAGGATTGGGACCTTGGAAGAATAGTAACAGAAGGTTACTTACTGTAACTGGAGGTTCTTCGCGATATGTGGTCCCTATCTGGATTCCAGCGTGGGTGTACATGCATGCCATGTGCCGGAACTGTTCATAGTAATGTCCACTGACCCGCACATGTGTTGACTGTGTGATGCATCCGAAGCTTTAAGAGGCCATGAGGGTCGATGCTGCTCCAGTTCCCTCTTACCAGGCAGTAGCAAAGCCCAGAGCAGAGGGGATGAAGAGCGGGATTGGAATCCAGATAGAGACCACACATCTCAAGGAACCTCCAGTTACAGTAAGTAATCTCTTCTTCCTCTTCAAGTGATGGTCCCTATATGGATTCCAAATGCAGGAGAGTAGCGAGCAGTACTCAGAGTGGAGGCAGGCGTGAGGGCTCTCCAGAAGTCACAGTCAGAAGGATGGTGCAGCAAACAGCCGCATCTGCCACTGCAGCAGGGTGAGAGCATAATGAGTGGTAAAGGTTTGGATGGAGGACCAAGTGGCTGCCTGGCACATGTCCTGCTATGTGATGTCTGTAAGGAAAGCTGACGTGGCAGCATGAGCCCATGTGGAGTGGACTGTGACTCCTGGCGGTGGGGGAGGAAGCAAGAGAGAGCATAGCAGTCCACGATGCAGGGGGAGAGATGTTGCGATGAGAGAGTGCAGCCTCAACAGCAATGGCGAGGAAGAGACTAGAGGAGGCACAGAAGTCACGGGTGTGCTGGAGGTAGAAGGCTAGTGCTCAGCAGGGAGTGCAGCGTGCTAGTTGAGGTGGAATGGGGAGACCACTTTGGGAAGGAATTTGAGATGAAGGCATAGGGAGACCTTGTCACAGTGGAAGATGGTGAAGGGCAGTCCCATTATCATGGCTACCAGTTCGCTCATGCACCATGCGGAGGTGATGGCAACCATTGCCCAATCCCGCCAGATCTTGTGCAGGACGTGGGGAAGCAGGAGAATGGGCGGGAAGGCATAACAGAGCACGTTGGTTCAGGGAATAAGAAAGGCGTCTCCCTGAAAGCTGGGACTGAGGGTGGTAGAAGAGCGGAAGTTTGTGGTTGGTTGCCATGGTGAAGAGGTCCCATCAAGGCATGCCCCATTGGTGAAAGATGGAGCAGATCATGGAGTTGCCACTCATGATTGGCATGGAAGGAGTGACTGAGTTGGACCACAAGGACGTTGCTCAGGCAGGAAAGGTATACAACATGGAGGGTGATGCTGTACTGGAGGCACCAATTCCAAAGGAGAATACCCTCTGCACAGAGGGAGGGGATCCAGGCCCCGCCTTGCCTGTTGACATAGATGACGCCGCCATGTTGTTGGACAACACCTGGACATGGCAGGAATGGAGGAGTGGCAGAAAGGCCTGAGAGGCAAAGCGAATGGCACGTAGTTCCGGGATTTTGATGTGCATTCTTGCCTCTCGGGGTGACTAGAGGCCCTGAGCCATGCAACTGTCCAAGTGGGCTCCCCAGCCCGCTAGCGAGGCATCAGTGGTGAGAGTAGAGCGAGGCATAGGAAGTGTGAACAGAATGCCCGTGAGGACTGTGGATG